CATTGCTCAAGAGTATTATGATGCTCACTGGTTAAGGGAAAGTAAGTTTAGTAGACAAGTAGAATGCTATGTGACTCAAGAACACGGCAACGGTAAGAATAGTAAAGATGTTGACATAGATGCATTCCCAAAATGTGAAAATTGGGTAGAACTCCCATCAGATGACATCATCATTGGGTGCTTCATTCTGCATTACGAAGAGAACAAAATATTTTATGCGAAAAGAATGTGTGACTTGTCTGCTGTTCATATTAGTGCAGATCACACCTTTAAAGTAGCAGCAAACATTGGCATTAAATTACCAGACAATAAATGGGTAACACAATATGATTCTTTATTTTGTGTGCTAAATGAGAAAGGTCAAGTTTTTGCCTGGCAGTTGACTAAAGGAACATCCTTTGACCATGTAGATAGTATTTTAAAGGCACTTAAGATTAGACTTGATAATCAAAATTCAATTTTAGACGCCATTTATGTTGACAACTGTTGTCACGTCCGAGGAAAGTTGGAGAGAGTTTTTGGAACTAATATACYTGTCAAGTTGGATCTATTTCATGCAATCGCAAGAATTACCCAGAAAATGTCTAAAAAGGCAAATCATTATATGAATAGGTCTTGCATTACTGATTTTGGAAATGTCTTTCGTGGAGACACTGATAAAGAGGAAGAAAGGAAAGAAAAAACACCATCTCCACAACAGATCTCTGAAAATTTGATGCTTTCATCAAGAGATGGGCTAACGTGAAGCATGGTGAAGATGAGAAAGTTCTTACTTCTGCAGTGCTCCACGAAATAGAGTGCCTAAAGAAACACATCCAAAGTGGCTGCTTGTCAGACATTCCTCCTGGAGCAGGTTCAGAAAGGAATGAAAATCTACACAGGAACTTGAAACATATAGTATCTAGAAGCAGACTAGGTKTCAAATCAGCTCTTGCATTGCTCACATGCTTCTTTTATCAGTGGAATGAAAGGAAAGAGAACAAATTTGTTAAAGGAGTCATCCCCCCGATATCATATTATGCTAATCCAACCATTCGTTGCAATCCTCCAGTTGAAAGTTTTGGAATCGTGTCATCCGCACATTTCAGGGGTACAGTGGGCCAGGGGATTTTGGATGGTCTTGAAGCACATACAGATATATTTAAAATGCAYCGTGTCCTTCAGTCTACATGCGGTTCAGATATTTCACAACCTTTGAAGCAAGTGTTAACAAAATGTCTCAACTATATGCTAGTAAAAGAGGAGATCACAACTATGAATAATTCAAGATCAATCAACACCCGTTTGATTCATTTGATGCCATGTACACTGACCCTATTCAGCAATCACAAATATCCCATGGTTAAAGACCCACAGGAAAGCAGATGTTCCCTGGAGAGGCTGTTATCAGAGTTCAACCTTAAGCTTCATGGACATCCTGCMAATCTACAACAAGAAGACAGCTTCTTTTTCTCAGTAATAACTAGTATCAAGTCACTGATTGATAAGCTTCCAAATCCTAGTGAGGAATATGATGAAGTTCAAGCAAAACTTCTCAGCACTAACTTCATTACAAATCCTGACAAGATGATGATGAGTATAAAACAATTACGGYTTGAAGTAAGTAAGGAATGGGCACACAATTCTTCAGAGTATCAGAAGTTATTGATAACATCAGAACTGAACTTTACAGAAGAGACACAAAACTTCACAAGGAATGGCTATTTCATTGGTAAGTATTTTTTTCTTTAATAACAGCTAATTGTTGCCTTTTTACTCATACCATTTCTTTCTTTATTCTTGCCTTCTGCCTTCTTTCCTTTTCTGTTTCTTTTTGCTAATGATTGCTCCAAGTGGATATTGTATTCTAAGGGACTGGTCTAAAGTCCAGTAAAAATAAGGGAGTGGCTCACTGGYTTCATGCATTCAGAAAGGGATGGCATGGTCTAAGAAACACTATTCACAGTWAAGGCCTGGAGCATTACAGTAAATGTATAAATCATAAATTAAAAGTGGACCATTCCATATTTTTAATTGAAAAATGGGGATGAGCCATGCAACATCATTGCAAAATAAGAAGGTGGGTCACATAAAACCAGCCTTTAAGAAAAAACTTCTTCTTGGCCATTTTTTTTTTTTCAATGGTACCTTGAAACCAGTCCTTACCAATAAATTATTCTTTTTCAGGTGAACTGGGCAATCTACTAGCTATTGCTTGTGCAAAGATACTTCAGATCAGCTTTGTGATCTTTTCTTCCTTAGAGCACCTTCCCATTATTCCAGTTGTTCCTGCTGGGCCAGCAATCACAAGCAGATGTGTTTTACTTGGATATGATGTWGTAAGTAGTACCTACTACAGTCTAGAAAAGAGTTGCATTAAAAGTGGTAGTGTTTCGTCWGATGTACCATCTACCTCTCACACATCGCTAAGTGACATTGGAAGCCAACACTGTAATTGYGGTAGAGGGGCAGCGAAGAAAGATGTAGAACGTAAATTTTGTAAACAGRCTGTTGGTGGGCTACCTTCAAGATGTTTATGCTACATCAACATGAAAGGCTGCAATCACAGATGTCGCTGTAGCAACTGTGATAATCCATATGGTTCATCACAGAATGCTAAAGCTATTTATCMTTTAACAAGAGTAAGGAACGCTTCCAAACTTAAAGGCCACAAGAACCAAAGTGATGTCAAGTTTCTTTTGGAAAGTAAGATAACCCCCCTCCTTGGATGGAATGATTTTGAAAGTATGCTGTTTGACTGCATGGTGGACCACATGATAGCTGAGGGGATTGAGATTGGAGCCCATACTTGCCTTTCCAATTACAATGAACTGCGCAAGATGTCATATGAAGAGGGTATCAAAAGTATTTTTCCAAAGAATATCAATCAGATACAAGGGAAATTAATGCACGTTAGGAAATGTGCATCTGTTTTTGAGGCCATGTATAAGAAGCAAATTGCATTGAACTGGTTTGAAAAATGAACAAAAACCTTGACATTTTGATGGCTACTTAAACTTGCCAATGTCAGATGTTACTGAATACATTACAACAGACATTGTCACAAGAGGGAATCACAGATCTTGTGCCTAAACGTCTACACAAATTTATTTACAAGTTTTATTTACCTTCCCATTTACGAGGCAATATTTATATTCTCGATACCGTACAGTCTTGGTCAGGTAATTTCAACTCACATTTCAATAACATTTTTTTCAAATGAATGTATGGATGAGTTTATSACATGTACAAATTCAGTTTAGTATGATTTGCATTACCATATTTACATCCCAATATTCCAAGACTATAACGTTTTTTCAACAGAGCTTAARGTTCAAGCTAAATACTGTTGTTTTCTATGACCACAGACTCATTTGCACAGGCTTAGCCTAACCTATGGCTCAGCTATTCACAGATAACAGATAATAGTAAACGTCTGTGGGTTTCCAAAATATTAGTGCTGTTCAACTTGTACATTCTTTTCATTGCTGTTAACTTAACAATTGATTTGCTATTAAAGAAGGCTTAATCCTGTGCAAATAACTCAGCCTACTGTTGATGGCCATAATTGGATGATAATAAAACTATTTCAATAAAGAAATTGTATATTACATTTCATGAATTTTTAGCAAGACAAAACAAAACAAAATTAATAGCATGCTTTATCTTAAATAAAATTTCTTTTGATGAATAAATGATGTTTATTATATAGATATCGAGGAAATACCAGGTTTTCTCTAGTGTCGAAAACTTAATATCTTTCACCAGTGGAAGATACCATATCTTTCACACGTGAAGATATCGCTGTTGAATCGGCTTAATGCTATTTAAAAAATTTTTAAGCTTTTGTTTTATTTCAGTTTCATCGATATCTTTATGATAAACAGAACATTACATAGGTGCACGGAGGTACGAATTTTATCTTCTCATGTTCAATTGATATCTCATGAGTCAGCGCAGCGAACGAAGATAAAATTCGTATCTCTGTGCGCCCATGTAATATCCTCTATACATCCAAGCTCAGAAGRCCTWTCAAGYTGGATAACGAACAAAACCATYGGGACATGTATTTACAGTTTATCTATTAATAGCCATGAAATTCATTGTTACTAAATAAAATCTATCATAATAGCCATTTCTTTTGATGAAGAAATCATTAACCTTAGAAAATGAAGGTATGCAATGTGAAAGCATTATATCCAAATTTAGATCGTCTGGTACCAATGGTYTATGCAGCTGGATAATGAACAAAACCGTTAATTTACCTAAGGACATGTATTTACAATGTATCCATTCATATCCATAAAATTCATTGGTATTAAAAAAGTGTTGGAGTTACTGGAAATATCTTGCTACTTCCACCTGTTGTGGGGCATTTAACAAAAGGGTGGACCACTGATTGTCAGAGAGGCCATTCCTCTTTCTGAACTCATTGGTATAAGAAATGATGTCCATACCATATAGCTCTAAATTAGCTTCATTTACATGGATGGGGGGTTGCTTGAAAAAGCAATTGAGATCAACATTGACCTCCCCAAGCTTTTCCTTTTCAAGCTTTTTCATAGCTGCCATTACAGCTGCTGTGCTTGTATGTGTCARTCTGCACATCATCCGTGTGGTCACAAAGGGACCTGGCRCTTGTAGTATTTTCTTGGCTGTACCAAATGAGTCAGGTGTTCTTCCATTGCTGACAATCTTAAAGGAAGAGACAGAGAACATCTTTGTAAGACTGTTTTTGTGTGTTTTCTAAAATTAATGCATTTAATCATGGGTGAATGTGAGAGATACATGCCGAGAATGGAGGCTGTAAGCAAACATTCAAGGTATGTACTTCTTTTAAGCTAATAAGAATTGAGTTTGGATCATATTTGATGTCATTTCTATGTTCGATAGCAACAAAGACCATAGAAAAGTCACTCCGATTTATTAAATCCCCTAGTTTCTTTATTTGAAATACACCATTGATGCTGATAATGTTCAAATTTATAATTATGAACACTCCAAATTGTGTAGTTAGATACATCTAACATTGTTCTCATGTACAATTTCAATCTCTTACCTAGCAAGAAACATTTTGCAAAAGAGCCTATTACTTAATAAACCATCAATATCAACTGTACTCCATTAGATAAAATTTCTCCCCTGAAAAAACCTTGACAAAGCTGAGACCAACAAACATTTCATAATATTTACCTTCTCTAAGATATTTCTGTTGTCTAGGAACCAACTTCCTAGATGAAATGCACGTTTCATTGTCGTGACACCAATGACGGTGGGTATTACTGGTGCTGATGGCATTCCAAGGGACCTCGACATTTGGTGAATAAACACATGAAGTGTTACAGCCAATCGCAGAAAGAGCTTGGCAGCCTTTGATATATTTTGTGGAAGGTGCTCAGAAGGCCCCCCACAGAAAATCTTGTTTTGCGCCTCCACCAACTCTTTCTCCTTCTCTGCAAAGTAGGTAAATGCCTCTGGTGACAGTGTATAAACAACAGGTGCTGCATCATTATGTCTATGG